GTGGTTATAGAAGCTTTATGAGCTGTAATTTCCAAAGTGGAAGAGGGGCTCAAGCGGATTCCAGGTACTGGACAGAGACATCCTGAACAGTCTTGTCCTATATACAGCTAAGATACTGCACAAGACTTTCAAACTCCTCTGGTAGAGGACCTGAGCTTGAGGGACTTGCTATACCTTCAGCTACAGCAACTAGGTTAACCAAAGGAAATCAACTGAAGTAACTCAGTTTCCTGGGCATGTCCTTCCTTTTTTCATAGAAGTAGAAAACTGTATCTTCTACGAATTGAGTGTTGTACAACCACAATATATTTTGATATGATAAAACATATATATCAATGTTTTGATAGTTTATTGTTTTTGAGAGCTAAAGTTTGACTGAATAAAAGTCTGTTATTTTGCCCTGTTTGCCTTTTGGATGGGACATGGTCCCTGGGCACATGCCCAGTATCTTCTTTTGATAGCTCATTGGCCCTTAAGAGATGATTTCCCTTGAAGCCTTTTAGGTGTAATCTTGTTCTTTCTTTATCTGAGGATGAATCAGGTGGTTCTTGTACTCTGTCATTGTACATGCTGTTTATTTGTACTGGCATAGTAGTTTTAGGTAGGCTTCGCCAAAGTGAGTGATGTGTGGTTAGAAACTCAGGCAGTAAAATAAAACAAAATGATTCTGTTCATTTAGAGTCTGTATTTTCATCACTCATGACAAAAATTAGTTCAGGCCATGGATCTGGTCTACTAGCACAAACAGAGCAACATAAAATGTTTGTGGTTAAGTGTCAAGAGGATTCTTGCGACGTATACATCGGGGAAACCAAACAATCTCTGGCTAAGCAAATCACAGGCCACAACTCTTTCATCTATTTACACCTACAGTCTAAAGCCACTTCTTCAATGATGATGATGTACACATGGACCGGGAGCCCCCTGGACTGGGAGGTAAGTTCCTTTTTTGATCCCAGAAGGGAAAAAAATAAAAACAGTACAGTAGCCTAAAATAAATGAACTAAAGGAAAAAGGGTCACAGGCACTTAATACTATGAGAGACTGCAAAAATATATATGCACAACAAGAGAGAACTGTGAATTTCATTGATAACTAATGTGTACACCATAAATTTAAGAAAAACAGCTGCATGAAAGTATAATGGAAATATATGTGGATTCAAACCCCACAGCATGTCTTCTATCCTGTCTAACTTCTCTCACCCCAACCGGTCGCAGCAGATGGCCCCGCCCCTCCCTGAGCCTTTCTTCCTGTTAAAAGGGAGTTTTTCCTTCCCACTGTCGCCAAAGTGCTTGCTCATAAGGGGTCATTTGATTGTTGGGTTTTTCTCTGTGTGTATTATTGTATACAATCTAAAGTGCCTTGAGGTGACTGTTGTTGTGATTTGGCGCTATATAAATAAAATTGAATTGAATTGAATCTAAATGTCTGTGAAGGTTCTCAGTTATCCAGGTCATCGTAGTCAGTTTTCTTGATTCCCTTTCATACTCCCGCACCAGTTGAAGGGTGTTCCTCCCAAAATGTACGGCAATATGTCTGTGAAGGTTCTCAGTTATCCAGGTCATCGTAGTTTTTGGAGAGACCAAACAGCCACTTCACAAGCGCATGGCACAACACAGAAGAGCCACCTCCACAGGACAAGACTCAGCAGTCCATCTGCATCTTAAGGATAAAGGACACTGTTTCGAGGATGCCAATGTTCACATTTTGGACAGAGAGGACAGATGGTTTGAAAGAGGAGTGAAAGAAGCCATCTATGTCCACTGTGAGCGACCATCTTTGAACAGAGGCGGGGGTTTACGACACCAACTCTCTGCCATCTAAAATCCAGTTTTGAGATCCCTCCCCAGACGCCTTAACGCCCACTCACATCCTGGGCCATCTGACCTCAGGAATTCGCATGATAAGGTGGGGCCAGGTTTCACAATGAGCTCACCTAAAACCCTGGCTGATTGGGACCCACACCCAGTTTCACACCTTGGCTCAGGCGATTAGAGGATCATCAGGGGGTCCTTTTGTCCCTCTGTGGGGGGATACTCCCACTATGTTTATATCTGGGACTCTCCACCATTTGACCTTAGAACTGAAGAAGCTTCTCGGATGAGAGGTGAAACGTCTTCAAGTAACTTAAAGAAGTCCAGACGCTTTTCTTTGCAAGCTCCTTTGACAATTGAATCTAAACATACCAGCCAGCAGATCTACTGATGCTGCTGCCCATGTGCAACACAATAAACCATGCTTTGGTGATTACACCACTATAATAAGATTTATAACTGATGCAAGACAACCTGCAGAGGAAGAGACCCAATATCTGGTCAAGTTTGTAGAAAACACAAAACAGGTCATGGACTGAGACCTAATCAGTGAGAGGCTGGTTTACTAACAAGAGTTTTTTTAGAAGGACTTTGTGTGGACTTCAAGAACTTTCATTGTCAGGCTTGTCCCGGTCCATACTGGCAAACATGATCTACGAGCTTTAACATTATTTTTGAAAGTTTTAATCATTTGTCAAAGTACTCTAGAGGGATGCTTATCATTTCAGATAATGTTCTTGTAAAGTTAGAAGTTAAACCAAGACGTGATGCTTTGAGGGTAGCATTTTGAGGATGTTTTGAGAATGCTGATAATGTGCACTTTTATAACATGCTCTGTGGTGCTAAATCTAACATTCTTATTTTCAAACTGGCAGACATCTGGGGACTGTCCGTGTAGTCTTTGCATGTTCTACCTGTGCCTATGTGGGTTCTCCCTTGGTCCTCCACAGTCCGGAGACAAACATTGACTAATGCAAAAAATGCCATAGGTCTAGGTCCAGAAGCTGGACACCTGCTGCCTGCCACGTCGTCGCCACACGCCACTCAGTGGCCAGATGCCAGATGGCTGATGCATGTCACCTGCCACACTGCTGCCCATCACACTGTAGCTTTATGCCGGACAGCGGAACCTGCCGCCTGTTATGCTGTCGCTGAATGCCAGGCACCTGCCGCTGGACACCTACCGCCTGCCACGCCATCATGGGACTCCAGACAGCAGACGCTGGACACCTATTTTTCCCCAGAGACCACCTAAATTCATTTGGTTCTGTCAACACAGTCCTCCTGCTGGCGAGCTTTTAATGCACATCAGGGTAATCAGGATTATGTGTGCTCACTCCTCTGCACTCCTTTGCTCTGTTCATGGGGCATCCACGTACTGAGCTGCACAAGCTCCCCACTGGCAATGCCCAGTTTGTCAGTAGCTCAGACACCTGGCACATAGGACGCTAGACACCTGCTGGACGCCAAATCTTAGAAGCCAGACTCCCGCGACTTGCCACACCATTGCCAGACACCTGCAGGTTGCCAAGCCATCACCAGATGCCAGACGCCATATGCCAGACGCCATACGCCATATACCAGACGCCAGATGCCAGGCGCCATACGCCAGATGCCAGACGCCAGATGTCAGACGCCGGGCACCTGCTGCCTGCCACGCCGATGCCAGACGCAGGACAAAAGCCGCTTGACACCTGCTGCCTACCACAATGTCGTCTGATGCCAGATGTTGGACTGCTACTGCCTGCCACGCGTTGCCGCTGGATGATGCTTGCTGATGGCTGCCACATGCTGATGGATGCCGGGCAGCAGACACCTGTCGTCTGCCACGCCATTGCTGGATGCCAGACGGCCAGACACTTACTCCGGACACCAGATGCTTGACACGGAGACCTTCCATTGTCACCAACGTGGGACCACCTAAGTTCCTTTGCTTCTGTCAGCTCCAGCCTCCTGCCTTGCCACCTGAAAGGGTTCATCTCCATTGCCGGCCACCTCCACCCGCCTGGGTCAACATTGCAGACATAGAGCACAGTTACAAGTACCTGAGGATCCCACAGGCAAATGGGAACCATTAAGAGGTCGCTCAAAAACCACCAAGTACCTGCAGAGGGCCAGGCAAGTCCTGAGAAGTCAGCTGAACAGTAAGAACAAGATTTCAACCCAAGTCCAGCACCCTGAGGTTGTATGCTAAGGGGAAGGAAGGAGGCCGGGGACTGATGAGTGTGAGCACTACGGTTCAGGATGAGACAACAAGCATTCACAAAGTAAGATGGCCCCAACCGACCGCGTGCTCAGTGAATATCTCAGGCAAACCCGAGGAAGAGGAGGCACCACCATGGAAGGACAGGGAATTATTTTTTTTTAGAGGCTGGTGAAACTGTTGGGGATTCAAAATTTTAAAATTAAAGGCACACTGAACCAGCATGGCTATCACAGCATCTCGAAGTGACATGCCATCCCATCCAGTTTGCATTTAGTTGGACCATCATTTACTTTTCAACAGGACAATGACCCCAAAAGCTCATCTAGAGAATGCCAAGAGTGTGCAAAGCAAAGGGTGGCTATTTTGGAAAATCTAAAACATGTTTTGAGTTATTTCACACTTTTTTGTTTGCTACATAATTAGGTGTTCATTCATAGATTTCATGCCTTTACTGAGAATCTACAATGTAAATAAAGAAAATAAATTAAATGAGAAGGTGTCCAAACGTTTGACTGATAGTATATATATATGTGTGTATAAAACATGCCTCTTCAGCTATAGCATGTAAGTTAACCAGAGGAAATAAACTAAAATAATACTTTACCCGGACATGTCGTTCCTCTTTTCATGGAAGAAAAAAAGATCAGCTAAGAGCTGGGTGTTACCATCGCAGTTGTGTTTGTCATTTTTTCTGTACATTTATTCATATAAACGTGAAATAGATATTACGGTCTCAAAAAATTGCAAAGCTCTCATCCACCCTAAACTGAGCTTTGATTTAAAGTTGTGTCGACTGCTTTAGCCCCCCCTCCCCAACAAACCCTGTAATAATATAAGTCAGTTGTAAATTGAAAAATCAGAGTAGCACTAATAATTGAGCCTCTTTGTTTAATTAATTTTATTAAAACAGCACTATTAATTCAGCGTGTCAAACGAGTAGAGCTGAAACGCAGTAGAGCACACCGGAAGTGCTTTTTGCCTCTTTTTTAAGGAGGCGGGTTGTGCCGGTTATTGTGCTATAAAATGCATAGTGGCACGATTTCTACATTTCCCGCCATGTGAATGGACAGCAAACATATGTTTGGACCCTCTGGCTCACTGAACCTTTCCGCGAACAGCAGGCACATTATGTTAACAGCGTGACGGCAGCATCGGTTTTTCGGTGAGTGTTTCACGCTTGTAGGTCACGTTAGCTGGCACTGTGTTAGCTTACTGCTGTTTTGTGATGAGACGTGATATTCGCAGTCTCTGTAGTTACGCCGTGATAGCAGCTTTCCTCTTGTGTCTTGTACACCTTGAAACGTGCGTCTACCGAGTACAAACTGATGCATCACTATCGAGACTAACCGCAATGTTCAACATAATATCTTTTCTTAAGCTTAAAATTATTATTCGTTTGGTGTGTCTGGTAAACCGAGCAGGTGTATTTTCATATCTGTTGGGATTAAAAGCGGAGTCCCTCGTCCAGTAAAGATCATATTTGACGGGAGTTTACCTCTTTGAATAATGTAGTTACTACAGCGGAGTAAGTAACTACTGAACCAGATAATGAAGAAAAATGTGTTTTACAGTCTGGAGTGAAATGAACCCGGGCTGAATGTCTTTGAGTAAAAGTGGTTGAATCTGCGTTATCGCGTGATAACCGAACTTAACCAGGTAGTACTTAGTTGAGGGTGACAAGGGCACATACGTTTGGTTTGTGGTGTGAATGGCTGCTGCCATGTGCGCACATGGTCAGATTACAGTAAGAATGCCCCTGTGACTCAATACGGAAGCCATGTAGGTGTTACACCTTATAGTACTGTGCGATAGTGTGTCTGCGTATTGACCTTCGGGCTTTGTGTTTCAGCCCATTGGGTTGAAAATAAAATAAAATAATGGGTACATAAAAATAGCACGTCTCTACTTTGAGTTAGCTTATGTCAGCATTTAATAAACTGTGAAATTTTCTGTTCAGTTTTTTATAATTGAATATTCTCTGTTTGTTTTTCTGTTTGATTATTAGTAAGTTTGTGTTATCATCTTTGTGGGATTCTTTAGTACTCTTAGTTGCAGTTACTGTTAGTATGAGAGTATTAGTTTGATTAGGTTTTCCCTTTTTGTCTTTGTTGTTTCCTTATATTAAGTTAGGAGCCTTTTAAACAGATTTTTTTTTTTAGATACCCTGAAAGACCACAATTGGTCACCTTGCAGGAATCTAGTGTCTGAGCTTCTGATGGTGAGACGGTGGAATATCTTCATCTGTCTGAGGAATCTGCTCTTAGTCCAAATGATTTACATTCCCCTGTGAGTCAACACGAAGAGGTCCAGGGAAGAAGAGAAGTATGTGCCTATTCGATAGACACATACTTCACTTCAATAGACAGACACATCAGTCCTTTCCTTTCCATAGTTATGGTTCTAATTGCTTTTAAACTCTTACATTTTGGGAGCTGTGTGTCAGAAGGGATACAGTTCCCTCAGGGTTTGTTGTACGTTGATTACACTTAAATACAAGACGAGACTTGACAGATGAATGTTATCCTGTGTGAGGTTTAAGGGCCAGATTGTCTAGACTTAGGATTTGTTATTACAGACAACAGAAGCAGCTCGTGACAAATAAAACTGACTCTGTAGTTCCCAAATGTCTTGACCTAATTTGGCCCGATTGGTTTGGTTTCATTTATTTGATGTGTTTTCACTGAGCGTGACCATTTATAAGGAAGAGCTGCATTTTTTTCTATTCTTGACTTAAAAAAGATTCATGCTTGCACCATTTCACCTACAGAGCTTAGTTGCACCTGACCTCAGCTGTTGCTTATAAGTAGCTCCTTGTGCTGTATAACTCTGGAGGTGTGTGTGAAGGAGCAGGACAGAATACCATTACGGCTTTTTTTCATGGCTTCTCCTGTGCCCCAGCATCTCGACATAGCTAGCCCGAAGGTGTCTTTAAGATGTTTATTGATGTCTGACAGTGAAAGAAATAAAGCGCGTGTGAATGCATTACTTAAGTAAATTACGTATATTGGAAAGCCTTCGTTACAGTGTTTTGAGTAACTTGGATATCTGGAGACAGATTAGGTTTTGTCCCAAAATGAAAAGGACACAAATATTGCTTTGGCGTTGCTAGGAGCAGAATAAATGCTTGTCAGCCAACATCAGCTGTTATCTTCAACACTCATATCCTGTTTAAATGCCTCCGAGCTCTCAAGTTAAACACTCAGAGTCTGGTACCAACTTCTGACTAATACTCAAATTATAGCTTCACCCCAGGGAGTGACTGCCTCATTGTAGCTGCTGGATTTGAAGCCTAGCTGTGTGTGAGCTGTGTTGGGCAGTTATTTACTTAAAGTTAACAGACCTGGGAGTGTCTACGCAAAATGCCCCTCTTATCCTGCTTGTCCTACTTGTTTTTGAAGGTGAAAGAGGGCTGGGCACACCTTCTTAATAAAGACGACAGGGCAACAGACTAGAATATTAAATGAGTCGTCAGCTCTTATATGTAAACCTGCCAAAACATTTCTTTAGGTTGTTTTTGGGCTTTATAAATTATTTTACTAATTGACGTCCAGCTTTTATTTATGTTTGCTGTTTTTAAGTGTTTCTGTCCTTTCGTCGGTCTACACATGTAATTTCTTTCTTACTCTTACAAGTTTAGGCGCTGACAGTATCGTGTTTGTGAGCGATCTGCAGTCTCTTCATTGATCGGGTCCTGTGACCGGAGCGTTTGATAGCCACCTTAGGGCTGCTCGATTATGGCAAAAATGATAATCACGATTATTTTCACTGAAATTGAGATCACGATTATTTGACGATATTTATTTAACCCTTTAAGACCTACTATAGAACCAAGTCCACCAGAGCTTATATTATTATTATTATTATTTTTTTACATGCTGTAGTGCCATTTGTGGGAGCATTTCAAGTTGCTATACATCAATACAACTGTTATAGCCCATATTTTAATAATATGTATGCATTAAGTGCATAGTAATTACATAAATTGCAAAAAAGTGCAATAAACTACAAAAAAAATAGAAAATCGCTTTTGTTTTGTTTACATATATTTCTACTTGGAGAAGTTTAAGAGGTTTATCCCTCAAAACTTTAAATACAATAAAGTTGCAAAAAATAGTTTACAACAACAGGAAATTTATTTTGAGTGTCTTCATAGTTTTATTTTGGAGATACAGCAATTTTTATATACTGCAGGAAAAACAAAAAACAATCCTATGATGCAAATTTGCAAAGAAAACAGCAGGTGCATCATTTCACTGTGGGAAGTGTTACGAACAGCTGATGGATCGGCAAAGCGTGTTTCTGGAATATTATGCTTTTGTTCCTGCAAGCGCTTTTTATGCAGTTTTTGCAAAGCTATATGTGGAAGGAAACCGTGACCGAGGACAAGCTGATGGCATCAGATGTAAGTACAACTCCTCCGGTTTCATATGCAAAACAAATTATTGCGCTAGCTTACACGGTTCAGGTTCTACAGGGATTTAAAAATAGTTACACAAAACGGAGCGTGCTGCTCTGACCGGCTTTAAAGGGTTAACAATGACTTTAAAAAAATAATATAAAATAGTGTGCAACACCACTGAATTTTTTTTTTTTTTTTTAACTCTTTTCAACCAACGGCAGTCACTCTCCAAATAACTTCTGCTTAGCTTTCTGAGCTTCCCTCGGGTCCTCTTAATCAGCGGTCTCCACCCTTTTTTGTGCCACGGACGGTTTATGCCCGACAATATTTTCACGGACCGGCCTTTAAGGTGTCGCGGATAAATGAGGGAGGGGCTAATAATCGGCTCAGTCATGTTTAATGATCGTTGAAAGCCCAGATCGTAATCGTGATTAAAATTCGATTAATTGAGCAGCCCTAAGCCACCTAGTGTTTTTGTTTCCTGCTCATTGTGGAAATTGATTATTTCATCGAAAGAAACGAGTAACATCAGCACAGACTAAATACACTTCCTGTGATCGCAACAGTGGGCATGCACGTAATTTCAGCAGCTGAGAAGTAGCTTATCAATGAAACCAGCTGATGCTGCTGATGTAGACCTTAGAAAAGGTTGTGTGACCCTATTGCTGTATGTCTGCTTCAAGCCTCGACTTTAAATGACCCCTGGACGTGTTTGTATCACTGTGTCCTTGATGGGACACGTGGCACACCCAACACAGAGTGTGCAGAGAACAGTGTGTACTTGTAAATTGTACCTCTAGATGTTTTTAATTAACTTTGAAGGTGCCGCCAGGTAGTCCTTGTCGAACCGCAGCATGGTGATCATCTGAGGCATTTTTACCTGCATGTCTTTCGCAATATGTTTGAAAATATGAAGCTGGCAGCTTTTTATGGCCCCATGACTTTAGCCTTGTTCATGATTTACCAGTTCAGTTTAATTAGTTCTGCTCCGCTGCTTAAAAAGTCCTGTTTGGTTGGACTGTAACGACTCTGACCAGGCTGATTTAGTGAATGATGGCTTTTGAAAGCTCTGTCACTGAGGGAAGAGGGCAGAGGGTGTTCAACCAACTGTCTCACCAGGGAGGAAGCACACATGGATTTTTAGCTTATCTAACAAAGCGAGGAGTAGACCGGCGTATAAACCCAGCCATTTATAGACGATCAAGGACACTCATAATAGTGAGGACCTATAACTCAACTGTAACAGTGGTTTGTTGGTCTGTCACACCTGCCTTTGTTGGAAGGAGGTGTCAATAACAAGTTTTACAGATGAAAACCAAACCATGACAAAGAAGTGTAAATGAAACTCGGCGGGGGGGGAAAGAATAGACCATACTACATCCTCCTTCACAGCTGCATAACAAACGGCCTGGTCCTCCAGGAAATCAACGCAAGCTGCTTCTGAATCTGTCTCTTGCCTTATTAGAAAGAAATACGACTGTGCTGTAAAACTAAGAATTATAGCTGTATGAATAAGACATCCTGTCATAAGGCTCGCCAAAGTCACCCTGATCCTTGATACAACACAGTATTAGTCAAGACTGGATTAGGGGAACATTACGAGTATTTATGGCAGTGAGAGAGAAATTAAACATGCCAGTGTCAGATTTTAGGGCCACTGAAACACAGTCTGTCCAAACGGCAACAACAGGCATTTAATTAGGCACAGGGCGTTAGACTGACTTCCCTAAGGGGCCCAACAGGAACTGAGAATCAGGTCGGAGGTCACACATGTAGTTTATTGTCCTGCCTTCATGTGAAATGTGTGACCCATATTGCTTTTGTCATGTACTCTGTGGTCTGGGTAAAGCATTCAGCCAGTCATCCAGAAGCAGAATAGCCATTATCAGTGTTTTTATTAAGCAACATTATTGCATTCTGATTACACTCATAAAAAGTCTCTCATGCAGCCAGTTTTAAAGCCTGAATATGATGGCATCTGCAGTATAATAAAAATTTAATAAAACCAGTTTAATAAAACCAGTTTAATAAAACCAAATATATCCTGATGTAAACGAGGTATCCTTTTTTGGTTCTTTGAACATCACAACCCAGTAACCTCTCAGCCGTAAATGGCTGCTGTTGTCACACTGCCAGGTGGGCAGGTGGTGCGGAAAGAGTAAATGAAGAGCAAATCCCAGCAGGTTCATAGTCTTTAGTGCTGTTTCTGTTATTATCCTCCCATGATGAATGATACTGTATCTAAAAGATAAAGTATCGTCTTTGTTGCTTTATCGTTTGGATATGCCCGCCCAATATTTACAGCTCTGCTTTTAATTTAGTAGCGGCATGAGTGATGTGGTAATGATTATGTCAGCCAGTGAAGTACATTTTCATTACCATTACAGAAAAGAGATGAATATTGTGTTTAATATTTTTTGTGTTTATTGAATTTAAAAAAGTGAGTTTAGAAAACAAACAGTGGAGCAGCCTTACATGTCCTCCTGTGAGTGAGTGGAAATGGCTTTTTCCAGTGAGAACTCAATACCTGTCTGTCCTCCCCGAGGCTGTACTGCAGTCATTTGTGTGTACACAAGGTGTGAAGTCAAATTCATGACTAACGGTGGACACATTGGAGAGAGGCTGAACTTGTTCCAGCTGCTGCTGTTTCCATCGCCTCTATTGAAAATCGTTGAAATTGCACTTAGTCGTGTTGTTTAATTAGATGTATGCACTCCTGTCATTCATGGCTGCTTACATGCTGCTAGGTTCATTCTTATGTCACATGACGCCAGCCCACTTTGATCTCAAGCGGGAGTGAAACTCTGCTTTATGTCACAAACAGAAGTTTACCTACATATTTAACCCCTGACACAGGTAGAAAGAAGTGTGTCAACCGAATGTTGCTGCAGTAAATGGAAAAAAATCTGTCAGTAAGGCTTAAATTATAAGATGTAAATGTGTGACATGTATGTACTATACAGCGTCTCGAGAGCCGGTTGTATTTGGCCAGCCCCTCACAGCTTTTGGAAACGTGGCTGACCCTTTTTTCTCTCCCACTGCCCGTAGAGTCTAAACAAACTCCGACACCAGGATGAAACGACGAACAGACGCCCCTCAGGACCGGTGAGTTACACAAACAGCAGCAGCTTTCAGTTCCCATTCGTTTTGCTCTCAGCCACAGTTTCTGCGTGACACCTAAACACGTTTTGTTGCATAAGGAGACACAAGATTTCACCAATATTCATGCACCATCCCTTTTCCCCATCTACAGATACTACATGGTGGGACTCATGTTCTTCATTCTGGGCCTGGGAACGCTGCTGCCATGGAATTTCTTCATGACAGCTTCACTGGTAAAAACAAGACTTCACAAAATCTGACACAATATGAAGCATATGCTGGGTTTTCAGTGATAGTATATTTTGTATTTTATACGTCAGATGTAGCTTTGTTGTCGTATTTTTGAATGAAAAGCCCTGCGTTTGTGGTGTGTAGTACTTCCAACGTCGACTGGAGACAAATGAATCGAGCAACGGGACCGAGGTCGTCCGCAAAGAGTACTACTTCAACAACTGGATGACTCTGCTGTCTCAGCTGCCTCTGCTGCTATTTACCCTGCTCAACTCCTTCCTCTACCCGAGGTCAGTGACTGTGTTAAAGCGCTTTCAAACATGCAGATCATCCTTTCTGATGATCTGGCTGCACTTGAACATGTCACCTTTATGTCTGAATCAGCAGCTTAGTTATTGGTCTTTAAGTAATGGCAGTAGGAATCTGATTATACCTAATAACACGTTTCTCTCTTTTAACATAACACAAGTCTGAAGGTCATGCAGTCACATTAATGAACACATCTTTAGCCCAAAAAACAGATAACAGAAAGCCTTGTTGCCATGGTGTCGTGAGAAATCTCTGATCCTATACTATATTATTTGTCACGTGAACTTTTCGTGAATGTCTGCCGCTCTAACAGACGGATGTTTATTGCCTATTAGAGGACGACGATGTGTTGAAGTTGATTTGCTTCGACACATCGTCGTCCTTACAGGATGTCTGTTTCCTGATGGTGCGCTGTAAACGTATACTCAGACTGTTGCTCTGTGGTATATTTTATGATCTGTTAGATCCTTCATGGTTAACTGTGTTGCAACTGTGTGTGTTTCAGGATATCGGAGGCGATACGTATCGCAGGTAGCCTTGTTTTCATCCTGCTGCTCTTCATCCTCACAGCGGTTTTGGTCAAAGTGCCCATGGAGGAAGACTGCTTCTTCTCGGTCACCATGGCTACTATCTGGTTCATCAACTGTAAGTCAGTGTGCTTCTATGTATATGTGGGAGACAGATGTGTTTGAGTGATAAGATGCTACAAGAAAAGCCCCCCCTTTTTTCCTCCCTCGTCAGCGTTTGGTGCCGTGCTGCAGGGCAGTCTGTTCGGTCTTGTGGGGATGCTGCCTCAGAAGTACAGCAGCATCTTCATGAGTGGCCAGGGCCTCGCTGGGACATTCGCTGCCATCGCCATGCTAATAGCCATAGGAAGTGAGTCACTTACATCCACACAAGCTTCCAGTGGGCTCCTAATCCTCAGTTGCTTGGTAACCAAGGGCATTGAAAATCAACGGGAGCAATCAGCATGACACCGCACAGCACACTGCTTTCAAAGAAACCTGAGCACACTTGGTTTTGTTGAACGCTTTTTTTTTTTCTCTTATATTTCTGTCCCAGAATGCTTCAGTAACTCTGCTTTGTGTGTGTTTGTCACTCAGGTAAAACGGACCACGAAACGGCAGCTTTGGGTTACTTCATCACACCGTGTGTGGGGACGTTGCTCACACTCTTCAGCTACTTGGTGCTGCCACGCCTGGTCAGTCAGCTGTCCTCTCAGCATAACTGCATTACCCACAATCCATCTGACCTCACCTATACAAACTCTCCACACATAAGTTTGTATGCAGATGAACCTGGATGTGGGCATTTGTAGCATTTTTCGACTGCAAACTGTCTCGTCTGAGTAAACAGAATATATAAAGTATATAAAGATGGATGTTGAACACACAGTGGTTTTGGACTTTGTATCACAAGTGCTCACTGGCATCCTAAGTGAATCCATTATAGTATAAACTTGATTACAAAACCTAATGTTTATTATATTTTGATATTTCAGCTGCTTGACTTTTGTGTTGTGTTTTTGTTTTCATGCAGGGGTTTGCTCAGTATTATTTGAAAAAAAGCAGCACGTACGAGGCAGACACCACAGACGAGCTGCTGAAAGGTAAGCTTTGGCTACACAAACAACTCTTCACCATCGCTGAATTAATGCCATTCCTTTCCAAGCTGCGCCACACGCTGAACACCAGAAGCCTTAAAATCTGTCAGACGTTACTGTGACAGTGAGCGAACGTTTGTTTGCTTTTCGACTCAGTTCACAATTCTGTCCCTCGCAGTCTGGTTGAATCAAATCAATTCAGTGGAACATTATCTCATTAAGTCAGTTTACCCTCTGTTTATCCAATTAGACGGTGCCTAACAAAGATGGGTTTGTGAGGCTCACACAGCCTCCTGCCTTGTTATGAATGCTAAAAAGCCCATAGAGGTCCAATTAGTCATAATTCACTCAACCAGATCCCACATTTGAAACATTACCTTTGAGCACATATTGAATAATAATGTTTTTGTGTGAAAGTGAAACAGCGGAAGTGAGGCTTTATATACATTCAATTGCAGAAAGCAGCATGGTGGAAAATGGCAAGCTGGCCGGGCATGTTAACGGATCGGCAATCGGCAACTCGGCCAAAGGTAGCAGCGTCGCCGAGGCCGAGCCGAGGTCTGATGGAACCAAGCAGGCCTTCCTGCCCCTGGAGCAGGTTGAGAGGGGGCAAGCCAAGGCCTCTGTTATAGAGGTCTTTAAAAAGGTACCCTCGTGTTAGTCGTCGTTTTGATTTAAGTTGAAACTATTTAGATCAGTTCATTGTCTGCAAATATTAAAATACTAAATAAATAAATCCATGTCCTCGTTTTCAGATCTGGGTGATGGCGTTCTGCGTCACCTTCGTTTTCACAGTCACTCTGTCTGTGTTCCCTGCCATCACCGTAGATGTGAAAACTACATCCGAAGGAGAAAACTGGGGTAAGACCGAACACTCGCTTCAGTACAGCTGCGCTCAACATTCATTTAGCGGATGGCAACAAATACAGTGCATCTCTTTTGTAGCCTTCCTATCGCGATATAAAAATGTATCTTTGTATTCATTCTTTCTTCAGAGAGCTATTTTATTTCGGTGTGCTGCTTCCTCATTTTCAATATTAACGACTGGCTCGGCCGGACCATCACCACAAAGATACGCTGGGTAGGTTTCCATATGTTATTTATGTTTCTGTCTGATGCCAGACTGGACTTATTATATATTTCATCAGCAAAAAACTGAGCTGTTCTCTTTCATTCATTCATTGTTTGCTTTTTTTTAATATGACAAACGTGTGTGTGTGTGTGTATGTGTATATATATATATATATATATTATTATTTTTTTATTTTTATTTTTTTTTATATTATATTATATATATATATAATATATAGCAAATATGAAAAAAACAAGGAGGAAATTCTTTTACTGTGTATTGATGCACAAAATTGTGCTTAGATGTAGATTTTAGCACGTTATACAAAAGCTTTTAGCACAAACGCCCAGAGCGCACTCACCACAACACTTGTCATTCTGAGGCGACTCCTGAATCCAGATGAATGTGTTATCCTGAGCTGGAGGTTTCGTCCTGTTAAAAGGGGCGTTTTTCCTTCCCACTGTCACCAAACGCTTGCTAAAAGGAGGTCGTTTGATTGTTAGGGGTTTTGGTCACTGGTGCTAAATGACGTAGCCACATATTTGCTCCAGTAAGCTTCAGACAGCAGTAGGTGCACTGCATCCTCTTTTAGTGAAATTATTTTGGATTTCCTGAATGAGCGTAAATCAGAATACTAGCACGCTTTTTAACCAGTTTCACGTCTTCATGTATTCTCCTACATGTCTCCTCTGCAGCCCTCTAAAGAGTCCCGTCTCTTCCCGGTGCTGGTGATCTCCAGAGTCGGGTTCATCCCTCTGCTGATGTTCTGTAATGTCCAGAGCCGCAACTACCTTCCTGTTTTATTTGAACACGACGCAGCATTTTCTGTCATCATGGTTTTCTTCTCTCTGTCCAGCGGCTACTTCGTCTGCCTGTCCATGTCCTACGCGCCACAGTGAGTACAGCGTCGACACATTCAGAGGTTGCACGATCACTCCGCAGACAGCTGCAGGACTGTGTTCTGATTCTTGTCATGTGGACATGTTTTGGTTGCTTATTATTGAAATTTGGGACCAAAAGATTTACAGTTTATTAAACAGTGTTGTGTTTTTGTGTTGTTTTGGAGCTCATGCTGTGTTTGAGTCTGTAACAGCTTAGTGTAATCGCCTTTTACAGCTTCTGAAATTCATCTGCATAACTGTGGTGTAGTCTTTCAAATCTGTATGCCCGTTTTGGACACAACTTTGTATGTGGAAGCATATGGAAATGTTCACACATGCAAAATTACCCCTGAGTTATGAAACATGCTGTTATGTTAGTGAGTCGTTCTAAATCCACGGGTTTGTGCTTTGTGTCTGCAATCAGCATACTGCCACGCCTCATGTACCCATGTAGGGGTTTCATTTAAGGTGAAGTGGAGAAAGTGGCGAGGATGCTGTAAGGAAGTAGGGCTGCCACAAACGATTATTTTGATAGTCGACTAGTCACCGATTATTTTTGCGATTAGTCGATTAATCAGATCATCATCCATTGGACGTACAGCTTATTGCACCAGCAGCATCTGGTCTTATATAACTATCATTAGCTTACAGCTTGAAGTGTTTGTGCTAACTAAAAATAAAGACAAGATGGTAGTTTATTAATTTTTAATGAAATTTGCAGATTGTTTCGGTGAAGTTTAATAAACTCCTTGCTTTCTAAAATATAACAGGACACCGGAGTATATTCTCCAGCGTCTCACACTTCTGATAATCAGCTGTCTGCTTGACAGTTTTAGCTGTGCAAAAAGACGGCGGTGGGTTTGAAAACGATTTGCCGGGAGTCCGGTGTTCTCACGGCTCTAGTTAGCCTTGCCCCCGCCTAGCTAACGAGCTAGTGGGTAACAGACATCTCCGAAAACGTCGGAGCGCTTTTGAAAATACGTGGTGTCTTGATAAACTGAGCAGATATTTGAGGTTTACACAGCTACATTCTCGCCTGAAAATATGTTAAAGGTTTATTTTGTGACCCAGAAAGAATAATAAGAGTAAAGTTAAAACTAACTAGCTGCCGCCATTGTTGACGGCTGCGCTATGAATTCTGGGACACAGCTTCTTCTTCTTCGGGGTTTAACGGCAGCTGGCATCCTTGTACATGCAGTGCTGCCATCTTCTGTTTCAGTCCGTTATTACACTCTTAAATCCTACTACTCATTCCTGCGTCCTTTGTGATCTTACAAAGCTTCAAACGATGCGTCGACTATTAAATTAGTCGTCGACGATTTTAATAGTCGACATAATCGTGACTAGTCGACTAATCGTGGCAGCCCTATAAGGAAGACATGAAGACTTATTTGTGTACCAGGAGCAAAAACTGTAACAAATAACAACAAGGAAAAAATGAGATAAGAGTACAAATTTTAAGGTGAAATCACAGAAATATGATTGCACCTCGTTATGCACACTTGAATTGGTAAGCGTTCTTGAGCTGTACCTGGATCACATGACCAAAGGGCACAGCAAGCTGAATGTCCACTAATGAATGTAGTGAAGCCACTGTGTGCTTTTTCAATGTTGTTGTGGTTCCTGTGGATTAAATACGTGATGTCTGCCTTCAGGTTGGTGGAGCCTAAAGACGCAGAGACTGCAGGAGCCCTCATGACCTTCTTCTTGGCTCTGGGTCTGTCCATAGGAGCCGCCCTGTCCTTCCCCCTGCGGAAGTTGATCTAGTTAAACACACACGAAGAGGAAAACGAATGCCCCCGTCTGGCCGACCTTTCTGTTTTTTCTTTTTCTTTTTTCTTCCTGTTTCCTGCTTGCCTGGAAATGTGCCCCACAGTGAGACTGGAACAATCATGGCTGAAGAACTGCTACTGTTTGGGAATTGTTAGCTTCACTTCGAAAAGAGAAAGGGAAATGCTTCATGTTACTGAAAAGAACTGCTGCTCATGTTACCTGCTGCTAATCTGAGAAACAGGTTAGAAACATTTCCTCCGTGGGAAGTCTTTTTTTTATTTTTTTCTGATCACTGTTGTGCATTTCTACATTTTGAGGTTTATTTATGTTTGAAAGAAAACAAAACAAAAAAAAAACAGTCAAAGTTATTTCTGGGCATTACCCTGTGCCAATAACTTGTAGATAAAGGGAGACTGAGATTAATTTTTACGGCGGTCAGAAAGACTTTTGTATGATATACTGTAGGTCATTTTTTTTCCACAGCTGAGACTGTGATATTTTCCTTTGTATTGAGGACTTGGCTGATGAGTTTTTTTTGTTTCCTTCCGTTATTTCTGTAGTTTCTCTTCTTCAGGCCAGCAACTCCATAGTTTGAGCTGATGCTGCCATCTGCTGGTCAAAAGTTTGAACTGACTTTTTTTTTTTCCTGCTTACAAACCTGAAAAGTTCTAAACATAGGAAATACTTATCTGTATTGCAATCAGGATGTAAAATGCTACTGAATGGCAGGGAGGTGGTTTGTTTGTTTGTTTGTTTGTTTTTTCAGGTAAATGAATTTTCTGTAGCTGTAACATAGGAATCAGATGTGATTGTTAGGGAAATGACGAGAAACTTACTCTTAATGCTGATTCGTCATTTTATTTGTTACTTTTTACCAATTTGAACGGTCAGATATTGGCCTTTGTAGACGATTGTGCCATGCTCCGCTTGCACACTGATTTTATAGTACTGCTCTTTGCTCAAATGTATCGAAGTGAAGAAAAAAATTAACATTAATGTTACACTTGGGTTACGTGCACTGAAGTGCTCGACAAGTCTCTGTTTTTGTTATCTTTCTGTAATTGAAGACTATAGAACAATGATGTGTTGAAATGTGTGTCGTTTCAAAGTGAGCGAAGGGCCGAGAGCTCAAGCTGGGAGAAATATTCACGTTTTGTTTTTTTTAATTTTTGTTTTTTTACTTGATTTATGCTGGATTTACATCCGACAGGAAATGAACCAACACAGGCTGTGTCGTCATCTTTAAATAGGAACCTAAAATAAGGCAACGTTGCGCCAATGCCACTTCAGCAGGTGTGCGTTGTGTTGCAGTGGAAAGCAAAGAGTGGCAATCAAGAACAAGAATGTCTTTACTGTTTTCTATAAACAATCTAAACTGACTTGAAGTGAAGGCGTGCGTATTTCTCTGCTATTCTAAAATATTCATGTCTGCTCTGCAATACATTTGGTTTTGTGTTCTACATCCTTCTCTCTGACACATTGGTACATGATGTGCTCAATAGGAACAGATTTTTACTGAATTACATGAGGAAGGGACTTCGTGTGTGTGTGTGTGTGTGTGTGTGTGTGTGTGTGTGTGTGTGTGTGTGTGTGTGGTGTGTGTGTGTGTGGTGTGTGGCGCGCGCGCGAATAAACTTATTTGACAGGTTGTGCGTTTGGTGTAGATTGTTCATTTGTATGTACAGTTACAGTCAGCAGGATCTTTTTCTACATCCAAAATAACAGGTAAGGATTTGCTACAGTGTGTGTACATGTAAATGTAGTAAAAGAAAAGTAAGTCTACCACACAAGGTCCCTATTTGTCTGTTGTAACAATGCTTCGTGGTAATAAATCTTGATAAATCTTACACTTTTAAAGTCTATTTATTTCCCCTTGAAGTCTGGAAGAAGACACATTAGCTATTTAACCATTTATACATGTAAGAAACATGGACCTCAGTAGTGTGACCGTGAAGGCAACTTTGAGCCTGTGTTTGAGCAACTGAATCAAAAGTAGCCAATTTTTTTTTTTAACTGAAAAATAAACATTACAGCAGAAGAGCTTTAAAAAGGAAGAAGCAGGGGAAATAAAGGTTGTCTGTAAACAATGACATCCAGCTTATTCAGGAAGTCTTTCCATATTAGTTACATGTGCCATGAAAGCACATCTGTCTGTGCTCTGTTAAACCCTCTCTGACTCTATTTGGATTTGGAGTCTACTGGGGGAGGACTCAAGACCAGTCCTCTGGTTAAACATCACACATGGCAGAAAAAGGAGGAACGTTTTGTAGTAAATGATAAAAATTAACCCAAGTGAGGCATGAAGTTTACAATCCAAACAAAAGGAGGAACATCGTGGAAAAATAAATACAAACAAGGCATCCATCTGCAAAGTTTGAACCCATATTTTATTTACAACAATGTGGAAAATATTTAATGTTTAAACTGAGAAAAATTTCCCATTTTAAGCGAAATATAAGCTCACTTTGAGTTTGAGGTATTAGTACTTCAAAACAAATGAATTTGGAGACAGTGGCAACAAAAGGCTGGTAAGTGTTTTGTCTGTTCAAAAATTTCTTTGGGAACATGTAAGTAACATGATTGCTTCTCTTAAACGGTTAAAAAAAAAAAAAGTCCAAAGCTTCTCAGAAGTAAAGATGGCAGGGACGTTCACCAAATGTATACAAATTGTGGAATAATTTTAGAATAAAATCCTCAGTCTAAAATTTTAAAGACTGAATATCGTCTACAGAACATAATATCAAAAGGAACAAGGTCAAAAACCAATATTGGATGTCTGCTCTTCTGGCCCACAGACAACAATTCATTAAAAACAGGCCTGACTCCATCAGGGAAATCTCTGCGTGGGCTCAGGGCTTCAGTGTTCAGTGATTCCACCCACAAATGCAGGTTAAAGCTCTGTCATGCAAAGGAGTCATGTGTAAAAATGATCCAGAAACACCACCATCTTCTCTCACCGAGGCAAAAAGCCCAGCAGCTGGTCTTCAACATGTTTCCAGACATGCAGAATAAAAAGGGATGCTACACAGCGGTAAGCTAACCAAACGATTGAGATAATATTGCTGCCATTAAATTCAAAAGGAGGCATTCTTCTTCTTAAAATGCTTCATTTTCTCAGATCACAATGCTAACATGTCCAATGCGGTTTCTGTTATAATAATAAAATAAGGGTTTGTGAGATTTGAAAAAAGTCATCTTTTTATTTACATTTTAGCATCTCAAGTCTTTCAGATTGAGGATTAAAGTAGAGCAGGGGCCTGTTCTTCGTACCTCGCTAAGTAAGTTAGCTGGATTTGATTGTTGACGATTTCGCCTGATCTTGGATCGTTCGGTTCCCCGAAGCTCATCCGGGACTTGCTGTCATAGCAACAGAGCCGTAAGCGTAAACCTGCTCGGGAGCAGGTTTACTTTATGTAAACAGGATTAGATCGCGGCCACGCAGGTATGTCCGCTTCATTTATACGAAAGCAACAGTGATATTCCACCACTGTTTCACCATAAATAAATAACATCAATGTAACTAAAGATAATGCAGCACCTGATCCTTTTATTGATTTCACACAGATACATACAGGTCATTTCCTAAAAAAGGGAAATGAACTATTAACATTCTATTACATGTATGTGATTATTACAGATGTAATTCATATTTTAGAGTAGTAATTGTAAATTACTTCGTGTAATCAAGATGAGAGACCACGGCTATAAAAGCGAAGGTGGATTTGGGAAGTCTGTCGCAGCCATGTCCTGTCCGTATACGCGACCAACCCATTGCGGAAGGTGCAAGATTGATAAGGAGAGTCCTCAGAATTCAGCGTATATTGCGGGACAGACAGGATCCTTTAGCTCAGCGCGACAGTGTGCTCATTGAGAGATATCGATATTCCCGTGAGGGTATTATTCACTTAACCAACTTGTTGACGAGGGGTGCAGGACCACCACCTGTCTTTTTTTTCCTCTGCCCTTTTCTTGGTTGCTGTTATGAACAAACAAACAGATTATTTCAGGGTCTCTTTCCAAGAGACGAAAAGCAATATAAGTGATAAATATTACCATTCTGTAGAATATTCTTATATTTCACTTTTACTTGTTCCCATGTTCTAGTGGGTCCTGTTGTGGCTCTAATGTGAAAGGGGATATAATATAACAATATAATATAATGTAATACAATATTGGATAATATAGTGTAATATAATAAATCTATGAATAAATAATAAAGTGAATGAATAGTGGTATTGTAAAGCGCTTTGGGTGCCTTGAAAAGCGCTATATAAACCCACTCCATTATTATTGTTATTATTAAATTACTTACGAGTTTAATTTGTCAGCAACTTTCTGCCAGCCCTCTCTCCTTGCTTTTGCAGCCTTTGCAGTGTTCCCTTGCGTTTTAATTAAACTCTGAAACTCCTGAAATCCCTCAATCAAGAGTTCTTGCTCTGCTGCCGGAAAATACCGAGCGCGCCCCTTCGACATTTTCGCCGACCAATCAGCGGGTTGCCGATCAATGTTTCTACTATTGATGCGTAGCCCCTTTTACGACACCCAGTGATGTCACATTACTGCGTCCAGCTGTACTAATCGTCAACAACAGGTGTGTTCGGGGAACCGGATTAGCGAGCTCACGGTTAGCGCGATGGTTTGGTCTTGGATGTGTCATTTGATCTTGGATGTGTCATTTGATCTTGGATGTAGTGAGCGACGTACGAAGAACGGGCCCCAGGTCAGATTATATCTGTGGGCCTCGGTGGTATAGTTTAACATGTGGCTTTAAAAGAATGCCTTACTCAGCTGAAATAGTTGAAACAAACAAACCAGTTCTTTGTTTCATGGATAACGTTCAGATTGAGCTGACTTTAACGGCTGAAATAAAATAAAGGCATATTTATATTTCTGTAAAGGTTTTATAGTCCAGGACGAGCAACAATTCAACTTTCAGATAAAGAAGTGGCATACCAGACAAACTTGGGTTCCTCATACTTGAGAGAAGCCTTTACTTGCAGAAAAATGAGCTCATTGTTCTTTAAAAATAAACAGAATCTGTGTTAGAAGAACCAGTTTAGCAGGAGACATTATCAGATCAGTTTAAAAGTTAGTCTATCTCGTTGGCTTAGCCAGGCTAAGGCTATCGCTGTAACTTTGAATTCACCGATATATTAAATTTGAGGATCTCTCCCTTGTTGTGGTGTTTGTGTCCCTTTGAGAGTTTAATGGGCTCTCTCGTGAGCTGGTTAGACTTCAAGAACCACACAGAGCCTGCAAACATTTCTTCCCTGTATTATTTATTGAAAACCCAGCAGTTGCCATTAATACCTGTTGTGTCTGTACAGGCAGGGGGGGTAAGGAGATGTGGTAAACTAAATTAGCAGTCATTCTGTTCTCAAAAAAAGGAGAAGAAAAACGACACGGACAAAACAAAAACAAAAAAAGCACTCCGATATGCTGCAGAATGACCCCTTGTATTGTTTTCTCATTTCTCTTAACACTTTGTTTTAAAAATGTTACACAGATGCAGGGGGGCTGGGGGGGTGCACGGAGGAAGAAGGGTGACAGCAGTTCAGGGGATGAAAAATAAGGATGCAAATGAAAGTCTGATTTGGGTGTGTCTTTTAAAAGAGTTGCACTGATCCGCTCCTCTTCTGCCAAGTGTTGCCTTTACTTATTCTGTGTGGTGAAACACGAAACGGTGGTTGACGTCTCCGTGCCTCTGCTTCATCGTTTCTTTGGAGGTTGGGCTGTGCGGGGAGGAGTGACGGGTCGACCGGAGTTCATCCCTCCATACTGGTACTTAGCCTTCTTCTCAGACGGCTTCAGGATCTACAACACGCAAACAGAGCAGCGTTAGCTTCAACTTTCCTGCAGTGAGGTGATGGCGCTAACCACGACACTATAGGATTTTTAGATTGTCCCAGATGAACGATGATCAACGTGAAAAACGATTTTTTCAAGATGAAAAACATGAAAAAGTCAACATTTGTATGAACATCTTTATGGTTCAACACAGCCTGAAGCTTCTTGTAATTTCTTTAGTTTTCAGGAAAACTTCTCCAGGCTCCTTTAAGGACATCCTGCCACGTGTTTTAAGATAAGATAAGATAGAACTTTATTAATCCCTCGGGTGGGTTCCTCTGGGAAATTCGACTTCCAAAAAGCACAGCAACGACCGAAGTTACAGTTACAGAATTGTGTTATTTTTTTTTATATATATATATATTATATATATAATATATATATATATATATATTATATATATATATATATATAAAATAAAAATCATAGATTCAACTAAATAAATAGGAGCAACGTGCCTACAAGTTCAAGCTGGCTGTTTGAATGATTCAAAGGTCAGTGTTGAAACGGCTCAAAAGACAAACCTTCCTCTGAAGATGGTCAGATATAAGAACTGGACTAAAAA